ACCAATGCATATTTAATTTCAGTTTAATAGTGAGATAAAAACTATTAATTAATAAATTTACTTGAATATTCTATTTAAGATTTACTAAATTTTCTTGAATATTGAATAAGATGGGTGGCGCGAAGCGCCACCCATTGTACTAGTTATTATATATTCCATATACATCGACTACTGTATATTATGTTCTCTTCTAATCATTTATAACCCAGCTAATATAATAAGTCACAACAAATCATCATCACACATAAAATATAACAATTATCACATCCTTCGCATACAATAACTATATATTCTTAATATTTGCAACAATAATAAACTAAAAAAATAATACAAAACATATCACTATCCTATCTATTTCAAATACACCTTAAAATAACTTTATTATACATTATTTAAACCTTATTTAAATATTTTCTTTTATCATAGACTTACTTTTTTTATTATAAGAACTTCGTAAACACAATAAAGTTTATACTTAAACGCGTTGCGTAAGCAACGCGAGACACACTAGTAATTATTACGTTGTATAATAATAATATTAACGTTATATTTAACTTGACTCAGTTAAATTAAATTAACAGAGTCAAATTAATTAATTTTGAGTGACTCGAGTTTGATTAAATTGACTGGGTCAAGTTTAACCAAACCTAAAAACCAACATGACCATAACATATACAGTTAGAGTTGAAATACACCATTTAATTTAATTGAATTTGTGCGATATAAAGACAGTTCTATAAACGAGATCAATTTGGTTGGTGAGTTTGTTAAAGAGTTATTTAACTTCGATTAAACCCGACTTGTATTTTGAGAAAGAAACTAAACCGGATATTATAATTAAAACTGATCCAATATCTATTTATACCCATGATTATATTATAGAGTTGAACTTTCAAATTAGTAGATGTAATTTAGAGGTAAATAATAGATTAAAATGTAAATAAGTATTGTCAGTATTGCCAAATCCTAAAGCCCAATATTAATTAAAATATTTTAGTTTCAGTGATATAATGTGATCATTATAGACAATGAGCTGTTTTATTAATAGTAATATCCTAAGGATATTTAAAAAACTACAACTGACAAAAAGAGCCAACTATATTAAATTCTCTTTATCATATATATCCTACCTTGGCGAAAGACTTAATGCATAACGTCTAAGATCGGATAAACATGCAAGCACCTCTAGTCTTTCAATAGCGTTTGAAATATGGAATCTTTGGGATATTTGTGAACATGTAAATCGTTTTTAGGAAAACCAATTGCTAGATCTTTGAGATAAGATAGATCGATATTGGCCGAATAAAAACAAAACGCATCTCCAATTACTCTAATGCCCACAAGTTTTTCTGGATATACCTCGCTCAACTTAGCAAAATTCCATTGAGCTGCTGCAATCATACATGCCACTAACTGAACTTCCCCTTTCTTATATTTTCTGGATGTTTTATGTTTATCTTCACACAACACCCACACTACTTTAGTACCTCTTCTGCCTTCTCTATCAGCATATGCTGCAAAATCAATTTGATTAATTCCTAATTCTAAGGCACATGGTCTCATGGTTAAGTCTAATCCGTCGTCAAATTTTGCTACAACTCAGATTACCAGGAAGGAAGCAACTAAATCTGATATCACAAAGTTTAAAAAGTCGACATCAAAATGCACTTTTTTTGAGGAGAAAGCATTGAGAATCAAGTTTTATGAGAAAAGTTCAATGCGTGATATATTAGAAGCAG